TTTTCAAGTTTGACAATAAACAACATCTAAAATTACTTCTATTTCCCTTGACTTTTACATTTAATAGCTTAGTGTTCAAATTAAAAATTACTCGGAGAACTTTGAAATATTTTCTTAACTCAGAAGGGAAATCGCCAAAATTAATTGAGAAAATGACATTTATCATTTGCCAAATTCAGTAAAAAAAAATGTACAAATTTCAGGGGACATATAATATAGCCGATTAATCATACTCCGTATATATTACGGACATTAGACTAAGAGGTCGTTTGGCAACACTATTTTTCGGCTTATCAGGTTTATCAGCCAACTTTTTCATCAAACACGTAACTTTTGCTTTCGCGTGCTGCATTGTGTAATAAGCAGAAAAGTAAGGTTAGAATTACTTTTCTGGTTGTATTGGCTGAAGTTACTGTAGATGATTGTTTTAGCTATTTTACATATTTTTTCTTTATTTTATAAATTTTTTTTAATTTTTTTTCTTAAATCAGCAGAACCAGTCAATGCAGCCACTTCAGCCAGAACTTCATAAATTTCAGCAGAATCAACCAAATCAGCCGATTTTCGTGCTACCAAACGGGATCTAAATCATTTCAATGCCTAATAATATGACCTAAGTATCTTAATTAACAACGTTAACATGGTGTATACCTGAATATACAATATATACGTCGCATATTCACTTGTATGATAAATATTATATACAAAAAGGAACATACATTTAAAACTCCAAATGTACTGTGAAACAAATTTTAAGTATTTACTTAAAATTGATCGCAAATAATAATATGTGAGAATATCGGGTACAATCTCTAAATATGAATCCTCTGATTCTTCACTTGCAATTTGATATGAATGTAATTAAAGAATTTAATTTAAAATTAAATCTCTAATTCTTCAAAACTCGAACGTTCTTCGATTCTTCGAATCTTCGTTCTTGAGATCTTCGAATCTTCGAACTTCGTTCTTCAGATCTTCAAATCTTCTTGAATGCTAAATTCAATATTGAAGGGCCTCCGGTTTCAAGTAGCTTGATCTTCAACAAAAGGACCGTTATGTGGCTTGATCTTCTATTAAAGGGCTTCCCGGGATATATGGCTTGATCTTCAATTGAATATTGATTCAATCTTCATATGAATATCTTCAAATCTTCAAAGATCCGTTCTTCATATCTTCGAACCTTCAAAGCTTCGTTCTTCAGATCTTCGACTCTTCAAGCTTCGTTCTTCAGATCTTCGAACGTTCTTCAACTTTTGGCTTTGTTTGATCAAGAATCGATGAAATCACAAAGGATTATTCATATATTCTTGACAAAAACGTGGCTTGATCTCTTCCTCTTCTTCGGAATCCTTCAGAGCCTTTCGGGAGTTCTTCAGAGCTTTGCTACAGCTTTTCTTCGTCTGGAAGTTCTCCCCTCCTTTCTCTCAGCTGAGACCCCTATTTATAGGTGTGGAGGGGGTGAAAATATGGCTTAGGGTTGTAGAAATTCGTCCATACCCCACGGGCCTTAATTAAAATGGGCTTCGAGCTCTATTTTCTTGCATTTCAATAGCTAGAAAAATCAGCATTTATGCAATGTATCTGGACAGCTTTTCTAACAAGGTTCATGGCCATTTTCCATGCATATGGAAGGATTTCTTAGCCAGATTCATTGACCTCTTTATCAATTGGATCATGCCTCTTATACATTGAGCCGTTATTTGATAACGGGCTCAAAATAGACAAATTAAAAGGACCGGTCCATTCCTGTAAAGACTTGATTTATGATTAAATTAATTGGATATTTGAGTGATTCGAATTAATTAAATTATATCTGAATGGATCCGTATTAATAATATTTTCTTTTTTTATCAGGCCCAATAACCATCTCGAGCAGCACGATGATCCAATATGATTGGGAATAGTCCGGTAACGTTTGCTATATTTTGGCCCAATAATTTTTATGTCCACATGTACTTTTTATTAAGGCTCCATTTGGTTATTCGCTTTTTAGCCAAAACGTCAATTTATTTACGGGTGAAACACTGCAAAAAGTAGTGTGTTGATCGAGGCCCAAACGCTGAATAACAAACTGAATACTCATTAAAAGAGAACTAAAAGAGTAAAAGGACCAACGAAAAAAATGATGTATCTATATTTTTCTTTTTCCCTAGCTAACTGTATTTTATTGATTAGTATTAATATATAAGAGTAATTAATATTAATATAATTACTAATAAATTTTTAAAATATGGGCCCATTAAATCCGGGGGCCCGGTTCTGGATAAACTATTAAACCCAAAAAAACGGCCCTCAAAACTAATTATCTATGCTAACTCACGTGTCCTTGCCTTTAAACTTCACAAATCTAATTTCTTATTCTAAAAGTTTCATATTTAGTTGTTTGTTGTGAGCAAATATATGGTCCGCTTGAATTATATGGATTTAGAAAGACAGAGTCACATATATAACTAAACAATAGAACAAATAACAACTATTGCAAAAAAAGAAAAAACTACGGAGTAGAAAAGGAAAAAGAAATCAAAAACAGAACAAACGTAATGCCCAATTGCTGACTGGACCACAGCCAAAAACTCATTGAATTTGAGTAAATAATGTTCCATAACAAAAAATAAATACAGAAAGTAACGTCTTCGTTTTCTTGTTAATCAGTTGCGCATGAAATTAATCATGATATTTGCTAATTAAAGTGTTCACGTATTGTTATAAAGTGTTCACGTGGAAATTAATCACTTGCATACTTATTTGTTAATTATATTATACTTCTCATAAATTTAAAGCTAGGAAATAGTAAAAGAGAGGAAAATAAAAATAGAAAAGTAAGTAAATAAACAAACATGGAGGGAATATATATACGAAGTATATAATTTCCCCCCCAAATATTATGGATATAAAATTTATGAACCAAACTATGAATAAAATTATCATAAATATAACACCATAAGTCCAGTCCATAACCCCTTAATCCAATAAGATAAAAACGCCAAAACTTGTTAATATAAGATTTTTTTTACTTGGGCTTCTTTCATTAACTATAAAATCATTTTCTATGTATGCATTAGTTCAATTCAATTTTTTATGATTAATTGATACCGGAGTATGTTTTTTTAAGAAAAAGGATAAATTCTTAGTTGTGTGTTCAGATTCTCCGCAGGCATGAACTTGGTTTTGTAGAAAATTGGTTTTGTAGAAAATTGGTTTTGTAGTTATATGCGGAGTCATGAACTTGGTTTTGTAGAAAATTGATCTGTTGAATTTGGAGTCCCTAATAATCTAATATCCTCCTGATTTGAAATTTGAGGTCAACAGTTGTTTTTCGTTGCATGTGTCATAAAGTCAACTGAGAAGAACGAGTCATAGGAGTCAAAGCTATCAGAGACATCTGAGTAGGCCTGATCATTTTGAATCATGAGTTGCTTCCAGGCCTGTAGAAAGAACCTGTTAAATACTTTTGTTATGAAAAGAGGTTGGGTCCTCCTGCATTAAATTAGGGATCCCACGAAATTAGAAAATTAAGACAAGAATTTGAAAATGATAATATGGTATTTTTTAATGTACTTCTTTTTCTGAAAGATACTTTTAATTTATTATATGGTGTAGTACTAGTTATAGTTAAGTGCCAAATGTTAACAACTTTAACTGTGATAAGTTTCAATCAGGGGCGAAGCTAAAAGGGACCAACCTAGGCCTCGACACACCCAAAAATTTAAAAAAATAAATACTTCAATGCTTAAGGTAAAAAGTTCTGTGTAATTTTTCCCCATAAAATTATTGTTTATACTAACTCTAACCCAATCCGGCCCAGTGCCTTGATTCCACCTCGATTTCAATGATGTGACCTATATTCATTGGAGTGACGGATATCTTTTATACGGAGTAAAAAGAGATCTTTTAATGACATTCCATCCTTGAGAGTCTCCAACGCCAACCGAATAGTTAACTGTGAGGATGTAAATTGGATTTTATTCACAAGCTGACAAATAGCGAGCGAGGCTTTGACTCTAGTACTTGCAGAGGTCTTATGCATTTTTACATAGTAACATTTCATCGTAATTTCAGGATTCGAACATGAAAATTACTCTTTATGCCACCCTCTATATACCGGTTGAGCTACAGCTTAGTACGTGGTATAATTTAGCTTAGTATAATATATTCCATCCATCCCGAAATTAACTTCCCACTTTCCTTTTTGGGCAATCCTGAAATTAACTTCCCACTTCCTTATTTGGCAAATTGTATACATCAAAACAGTACAAAACAATGTCAAAATAGTAAAATTTACCCCCTAATAAATTTATTTCCTTAATATGTGTGAAATCCAAGAGGGAAGTTAATTTCAGGACGGAGGGAGTGCATAATTAGTGTATAAGAGACACACTGAAGTACAATCCTTTTGCTAAAAATAAAAATAAATATCCCCCTCGTCCCATTTTACTTGTTTTACTTTCTTTTTTGGGTTGTCCTAAATTAAGTGTCACATTTCTTTTTTTGGAAAGAAATATGTGGTTTACAACATTTCACTTTATTATATTCAAACCTCAACCACAACTTTTATCTTTTCAATCACTTTATTAAAAATTGTGTCAAAACCAAATGAAACGCATAAAATGAGACGAAGGTACTAGTAATTTATCTTCAACTTTTAAACTTAAATTATCATGACAGTACATTATAATTACTATAAGTCAGATTAGTGTAAATAAGATTTATTTAGGTACTCCCTCCGTCCCTAAATAAACTTCCAACTTTCATTTTTCGTTCGTCCTAATTAAAACTTCTATTTTTCCTTTTTGGCCAAAATTTGTGGTTCACAACAATTCTTACACATTTATCTCTCCTCTGCACAACTCTCCACCACACAATACCCACTATCTTAAACTGTATGTCAAACCTATTTGGAAGTTTTATTAGGGACGGAGGAAGTAGATTTTTGGAAAAATTCCATAATCATAAGAGACACGGTGAGTACGATCCTTTTGTCTAAATAAAAATAAAAACGAAATCAGTAAAAGGTGCTGCTACTAATGACCAGTCTAGAGTGAGTGTAAAATAAGAGGGGGAGTGCAGTGCAGAGCAGTGGCAGTGGCAGTGGTGGGTGTAAAACCGGAAGAAAAAGACGCAGACACCTACAGGGGAAAAGGGGACATCCACGTTCGGTGTAAGACACACACCCACAAAAGCAACAAATCGAGGCGTATATTATGCTGTTTCCCAGGACGCTCTCCTCACACCCTCTCTCTCTCCCTCTCCCCAATTTCACACCATAATTCTTGCTCCGCTTTCACCCACCAAACTCTCTCCGGCCACCTCCACGGCGGGTGGAAGACAGCGCAACCGCCACCAGAGCAGTGGATTTGTTGGGTATTTCTGGGTTTTAGCTAATCATGCGGTAAGTGCCTGCAATGCGTAGAATTTAGGCTCATAACGTCTGGGTGTTGCTGAATTTCTGAAATTGTATCAACTCCCCGCTTGATCATGACGATTAGAGGTTCCGTTTCTTCTCAGCAACAGCAAAGCAACCTCCCAACCACTGGTCTGTCTTTTTCTTTCTCCTTTCGTTGGTATAAGCTGTTGAAATTCTAGAGCAGCTGAGGATCCGTTTTCTCTTGTTGAAAAATGAAAATGGGTCTTCTGAAATTTACAGGAAAGGATTACCTTTACGAGGAGCTATGGAAGCTATGTGCAGGTCCGTTGGCGGAGGTTCCGAGGATTCATGAAAGGGTTTACTATTTCCCGCAGGGGCATATGGAACAAGTAGGAATATTCTTTTCTTGCTTACCCTTTTACAGTTTTACCTTTGGTGACGCCTTTCATTTCGTAATTTATGTCTTCAAATTGTTATGTTATTTTGATTGACTTCTTTTTATGGTTATCACTTTGCTAAGTTTGAATTTTTATTTTTCTGGGTTACTCCTACCAAATAGAGGTGCAATTAACAGTCTACCAGATTGACCTAGGATAAAGTTTGATATAATTGCTTAAATATTTCAATAAAGTTAATTATTTTCTTTAGTAATAGTTAAAGTGGTGTTGATAATTAAGATCTATATAATTAGAAACTAGACTAAAAGTTCTATTGAAACGTGGTAACCAAATTTGAATTTGATAAGTAGAATGCATCCATGAGTGAATAGTAACATTGCACCTCAATGTATTATTTTATGATAGATATGTTTCTGTCAATTAATCAAGTTTAATTTCATTGTTGGTAACATCTCAATGTATATTATATATATGTATCCTTGTGAAAAATGTGTGATGAAGTAGGAAGGAGTGTCTTTAATATTGACCTTCCTTGTATATTTGTGTAGTTGGAGGCATCAACAAACCAAGAGCTGAATCAGAGGAGCTCAATGTTCTCTCTGCCATCCAAGATCCTTTGTCATGTTGTCAACATTCAACTTCTGGTACTTTCTGGTTCATTTCTTTATGCTTTAAAATATTTTTTTTAGCAACTGCATAAAATGTCGTTTGATTGCTGTCAAGTGATTGTTCATACTTGCTTGTAGGTTGAACAAGATACCGATGAGGTTTATGCTCAAATCACTTTGATGCCACAGGATGTAAGAATCTTGAACTTTTTAAGCACCACGTGGAATGTTTTCCCCATGACACACACACCGTCGCACACACGTTCTTATTCCTGATGATGTTGGAATTTGTTTGTAGCTAATGGAGCCAGCAGGTCGAGATTCTTCTGCTGAACCTTCAAGGCCCAAAGTTTACTCCTTCTGCAAGGTGTTGACTGCATCTGATACTAGTACTCATGGTGGTTTCTCTGTCCTCAGGAAGCATGCTACTGAATGCCTTCCTCCCCTGGTACTTCTTTTTTATTCATACCCCCATCCTGTTGCCTTTTCTTTCTCAGCTTCCTTTTATCTCCCTTTTCAACCCATCCTATTATCTATGGCAGGATTTGAATCAACAGACTCCATCACAAGATCTGGTAGCAAAGGATCTTCATGGCGTTGAGTGGCGTTTTAAACACATATTTAGAGGTAATTTCTTACCATAAAAGTGTGGAGTATGTTTTAGGAGACATTATACAATGCTGCCTGTTTTTAGTGTTTTCCTTCCGTGTAAGATCCATTTGTGATTATTTTTCCTATTGTTTTACCTCTCAAAGAGAGAGACAAGTAAATGGCTTCTTTGACCCCGGAAATTTGCCAATGTGGTCCATGTTGGGTGGATGTTAAGTCATCACACAGTGCTAATATAAAGATATAGACCAACATATAAGGCTTTAAATTATTACTTCTATCATATAGTGGCAACTTTATGGCGAGCTATGCGTGGTTAGAGGGGAATGTATGGATTCACCTTGTTGCGGGCGTAAGTGTAAAAGCAACTTGGGGAACCATTTTTAACTCCATTGTACCTTTTTGTAAATAAAATGACATCATTTTTACTATTTCGTCGTCTAGGCCAACCTCGAAGACATTTGCTTACAACAGGATGGAGTAACTTTGTATCTTCAAAGAAATTGGTTGCCGGGGACTCTTTTATATTCTTGAGGTAATGGGTAATCTCTCTAATTTCGTCATTTTAATCTGTTTCGCTGTTGAGTGTCTACTGCTCAACATATGTGATAAAATATGAAATATAAGACATCCTAGCATGATTATCTCTTTAATGTTTTTTTATCATCAATCTCTTTATTTAGGGGAGAGAACGGGGAACTGCGAGTTGGAGTCAGACATCTCTCACAAAAGCAACACTCTATTCAATCTTCAGTCATTTCAAGTCAAAGCATGCATTTGGGAGTGCTTGCTACAGCTTCACATGCTGTTTCGACGAGAACCCTCTTTGTTGTTAACTACAAGCCAAGGTACAATAGCTGTTGCTAAAGTTCCTCTTTGAAAATTAGAAAGAAAAGTTGCTCAATAGGATTTTGGACTGAGACAGCAAATGAATTTGATTCAGTCTTATGGTGTGGTTTGACCTAGTGTCTTATGGCCTAGTCGAGCGAATCCAATCCTATCATGAAATATATGAGCTATGTTATTAGTCTAAATTTTCTCTTCATCTTTTAGCAGACAACTTTCTTAAGTTTTTTTTTTTAAAAAATAAAATCTACGTAACTACTTTATCACAACATGTAACAGAACCAGCCAGTTCATAGTAGATGCGAAGAAATACCTAGAAGCTGTTAATCATGGGTATTCAGTTGGCACGAGATTCAAGATGCGGTTTGAAGTGGATGATTCTCCTGATAGAAGGTGGGAGAAACTGTCACAAGTTATTTTATTCTGCCAGTGTCACTTATAGCCATCATTTCTCTATAGAACTACTTATGTTTTATAACACTGTTCTCATTCACTATTCATGCACGATACCCAATTGTTTTCTAATATAGTAATATATCTAATGTTAAGTTTCAAGTTTTGGGATTTCTGGTTCAATAGAAATTTGAGTGTAGTTTCTAAATATGTACTTCAATTACTAATAGTAGTTAAAATATAATGTGGGGAGAATGAACTTTTACCTGTGTTGATCTGAAACCACGGGGATTGAGACAAGGGGATCCGCTATCTCTGTATCTGTTTATTCTGATTACGGAGGGACTGAGTGCAATGACAAGGATGAGCTTTAGGCTATCCTTTCTCGCTCCAACGATCAAGCCTCGGCCAAGAAAAGGTTGGCAGCTGACTCCTTGCTTAAGGATGGGTGAGCAGTAGCCTGCTCCTAGCAGTTGGCTCCAGAGGGAATATATCTTGAAGGCTCTTTTTTATATTTCCTTTTTCATCCAGGTTTATGGGCACCATAATTGGGGTTGAAGATATTTCTGCCCAATGGAAAAACTCCGATTGGCGTTCATTGAAGGTTTACATAATTATATGCTATACATTTGCAAGATAGGGAATCTCATAATTATAACTTCCATGTTAATTCTTCAGTTCTCTCATTTTTAGGTTCATTGGGATGAACCTGCAAGCATTAATAGGCCTGAAAGGGTTTCTCCATGGGAGATAGAACCTTTTATTCCCTCGGTCCCTTCAACACCCTCTCCACCGGTGGTACCCAAGAACAAAAGGCCTCGACCGACTATTGATACCACAGTTCTAGGTGAGCTGAGTGTTCAAATATTTTCATGTGCTTGAAATTTAGGGTTTGTTTGGGACGCATAGCTTAACAAATAGCTCAGAGCTACAAAATTTCTAAAATCTTAAAAGTATGTAGGTAAAGTTTAAAGCTCTAATGGGTTTTAGAGGTGTTTGGTAAAATTAGGTGTTTTGTTGAGTATATTCATGTAAAATAGACATCTCTGAGTATTTGTCATAGATTGATAAAGGGTGTTAGTTATTATTTGAAAAGAGTAATGTCATTAGTGAAAACAGATTGAAAGCTGGGAGCTTATCTCTTAAGTACTATAGGTGATAGCTTTTCCAATAAACGCTTATTTTAAGCCTTTAATATATTTACAAACAAGCTTAATAGAACAAAATCTGTATTTAAGAATAACATCTATTTATTTTATTTTAAAACTAAAACATATTTTGGTTCAAACTTAGAAATTGTTCATAAGCTTCGAATTGAATAGAGCTAGCTAGTTGGTTCCAAGGATATTACTATACTGAGTACTAAACACGCACTAACCCTTTATTTTTAATTGAACTTTGTAGAACCACCTACATTGTCAAATGCCTCTGCTGCTTGGAATCCTTCATCCGATTTGGGATCTGAACAGATTGCTCCAATCAAAGCTAGCAATACGGATTGCTCTCTACAGAACCGAACAGAGATTGTGGGCCCTACTCATGTAAAAACTTCTTTAAATCTTTTCACAACTGAAAGTGATGATGGTAAAAGTGCTTCAACTTGGTCCGTTGATTCAAACCACCTGCCTACAATGCACAATGGAGGGCATCAGAACAATCTTATAAACCATTTGGGCGATAAAGGAAAATCCGGACCTTTTAGATTGTTTGGTATTGACTTGAACTCGGTTGAAGGTTCCTATCCAGAGACAGTAGTGACCTTAAGTGATTCAGAGCAAAAGTCTGACCTTTCTTTTGATGCGAAAGATCTTAAACAAGAGCAGTCACAGGCCTCCCATCCAAAAGACAGTTTAACCAACCATGGTTTCTCCATTAGAAGTCGTACCAAGGTATGTTATGTTTAGTAATCCAGGCCTAATACCAGAGTATATGTTCACATGCAAGGTCCTTAAAAAGTTTATCTAGATTGACTTTTTTGGTCTAATTAATGAGCTGCTAATATCTTCAGGACATGTTAGTTTCTACGCCATACCGGTTAAATAAAAAATTATAAACTTACTCTCTTCATGTCAGTTTGAAAATACTAACCGACTGCATTATCATTTGAGTAGGTACAAATGCAAGGAGTGGCAGTGGGTCGTGCAGTGGACTTGACAGCGATAAAGGGATATGATGAACTTATTAGTGATCTTGAGGATATGTTTGAGATCCATGGGGAACTCCGCACGCGGAACAAATGGGAGATTATCTTCACAGATGATGAGGGGGACATGATGCTTTTGGGGGATCACCCATGGCTGTAAGTATATATATATTTTCTCATTTCTATTGCTGTGAAACTCTCAAGTGTATTCTTTTGGAACTTAACTGAGTTATTTGATTATTTGCAGAGAATTCTGCAGTGTGGTGAGGAAGATTCTGATTTGTTGCCATACAGAGGTGAAGAAAATGAATTCTAGAAGCAATCCACTACTTTCTGCATAGGAATCACTAACTTGAAAATAATAGAAATCTCCATTTCTAGCTACATCTCTTAACTCATCTTTTTCTTCTCTATGGTCCATGACTTTTGGTTTCCTTTTTTCTCCCCCCACCCCCTTGTAAACTGTAAAAATCAGCCTTTTGCCCTTTTGTTTACATGTGGGAAAAAAGGATTTTTTTGCAGATGAACGAAAGCTCGAAAAGTGGCCATAGTACCGATGCGACTTAGCTTAGAACATTGATTAACATAATCAGAATTAATGAATATTCCCACGTTTTTGTTACATTGTTTTACCTCTTGTAGATACTTAAATTGTTGCATATTGGTTTTTTTTGGTAACTGACTCTCTGACAGCAACTGCAATGGATAATTTGTTAAGATATAGATTATTTGGATGTTACATGGGGCTCTTCTTTGTACCCTTTTTAATCTTTCCTTTTCTTGTTGTGCCTATGCTCACACTAAAGCCCCTTATGTTTGGATGAAAACCAGAAAACACAAGGATGCTCACACAGTAGACATTTAATAGACCAGATCAGATAATTGTGGAGATAAGTAGATAACCATTGATAATTGTGTGAAACTCATTCAGTCATTCATTTGAGGGGTGATTGTGATTTGTGACGTTGATTTTATATTTTCCTTTATGATTCCATAGCATCTTTGTACCCATATCAGTATTCATCAATGAAGAAAAAGGCCACTTGTTGTACCTTTCAATAATTCAACTCACCAAACACAGTAGGGTCTTGTTACATAGTTGAACAAGTCAACGTTTTTTTCTTCAAAACAAAAATGGTACGTATATTAGGTGAGCTTGTCCACGAAAATTCAAATGAAGAAAGCTCCAAACAATCTGTCATTTGATACTGTTAGGGAAGAGAGAGGGGCCCAAACTTGGTCTCTTCGATTGATTCATGGCACATCAGGAGCCAGGCTGCGTTGTTAAAGAACAATTTTATTGTACCCGAAATAGGAACAAGTTTGCAAGGGCCTCCTTGATGGGCTATTTGGCCACCCACTCCAATTCTTCCCTTTGCGGGAGGTATGGGGTTCAGTTCCCACTAAGAGAAATTAATTTCGTTGAGGGAGGAGTTAGCGGGAGTCTGGAGAGCCTTGGGGAGCAACCTGTGGCTGGGCAATTGACTCCATCCTGGAGGAAAGTAGTGGACTGGCCTGCAACGCGCCTGACAATCTGAATACCAAAGAAGAGGAGTTCATTGGTGCGTGGGAGAACGTGGGTTTTTGCGGGTGTGTTGCAGTACTGTTGCTGATGAAAAAGCCAAAAAGGCTAGTGGATAGGTTGTGTACGTATAAAAAAGTGTAGTGGGGAGAGCTGGATTCTTGGTGCATTTTGCAGCTGGGAAGCCTGGGATTTAACCAAAAAATTGGTTTGATATATAAAATGAAAAAGTAATACTATAGAAATTTGGAAAACAATTAATAGTTTTAAATTTATTTCAAATTGAACTCAACTACGCATTTGTAATACTTACAAAAAAAATTAATTCACATTTTTTATTTTTTTACATCGGGATGTTTGAGTTTTTAAACAATAATTTTTGGGCAAAACAAAATTAACACATAAGTGTTGTGTAATAAAATAACTAAGGATATATGCATTTAATTAAAAAAAATGTGCTGAGTGGATATATTACTGGTGCTAGGTTGCAGAGAAAAACTGAATTGACTAAATACGATAAACAGGAGGGGGATTAGATTTATTGACGGGCTGGGTTGCGGTTAGCCTTAGAGAGTAGTTCATTGGCCGATGAGGGGCAGGGCGGATCCAAAAATCTGAGTTAGATTGGGTCACTGGGGTGAAGAGTAAATATAATAGACTTAAATATGACAAATGAAAAATTTACACTAAAAATTTGAAAAAAAGTTAAGTTGTCCTAGACTTTAATCCACCATAACCTTAACATATATCCTCCTCTAAGTAGAGGGATATTAATGGAGGTAATTTGGGTTAAATGGGAGCGAATAGTAAGTATACTAGGCTTAAAGAATAGTGAGGTGAGCAAAACAAGACAAATGTAAAAAAAAAAATACACTAAAAGATTTGAAAAAAGTTAAGTGGTCCTATACTTTAACCCATCATAGCCTTAGCATAGATCATCATCTAAGTAGAGGGATATTAATGGAGGTTTAGAGGCTTGATTTAAATGTTTAGGGGCTTTAGAGGCCACTTCAGATATTCTAGGATGTCTAGGTTTATAAGAGCGCAAACACTGATACCCGAATCATTAAAAGAGAACATGGTGTAAGTGTTTTTGTAAATATGTGTATTATGTTTTTAATTTCTAAATAAGATTATTTATTTCAATTTTACAATTCTATATTCAATTACATTATTCATATAATTCAAATAGTATCTTATTATTCAACACTAAATCAAAATAAATTGCATCTACATATCACCTCATCACAACCAACTAGTGGTCAATAATGATGGTCAATGTCTCGTTATAATTGTTGAAGTTTAATACTCTTTTCTTCCCACTACAATTGTCTCATTTTCTCTTTTTTGTCAGTCCCACTAACTTTGTCACATACGAAGTACCATATTTGGTAATATTTATGTGACAGTAATTCATTCTTACTTTACTTTCACTTTGTCATTTCATTAATTCTACTTTTCTAAAAAATTATATCATTCTCCTTTGTCTCAATCTTAGGGGATGAAGGTAGTATAACCCTACACTTTCGGATTGACGGTATTTGATGGACGATTATTGGAATTCAAGATTACAGTACTTGCCTACTTGGTAGTAATGTAGCATGGTCTTCAAAGTCCAACGAGTCATCGAAGCCCGTAGTTCGTTGGTTGGTTGGTTTTAATTTAAGTTTATATTCTAAAAAATTAAAATGCATAAGCAATGTTATTTTTTACCATACAACTTTACTTCTATTTACTTAATAAAGACATTGTAATCCTATTTAGGTATTTTAGTGTAGACACTTAGGCCCCGTTTGATTTACACATTAAAACTTTACATGCAAAGTGATTGCATGGAAAGTTTAGGGTCGTAAAGTAGTTTGCATGTAAAATAGAAATACATCATTTGGTCAAGTGTTTAATCTGTTTTTAAAGTACTCATTGACCGTGCCACCGAGCTTCTAATTAACGTGTAGAGAACTAGCTTCAAATTGACGGTTGGCCTCAGACCTTGAATTGTGAGAAGATGAATCAAATAAAAAATTGTGACTTTATTTGAAGCTTCCACAAAAGATTAATTAATCACTAAAAAGTAGGTATTCTACTTAATCAAATACTAGATAGAAAATCACTAAAATCAACTAATTAACGGAGTGCAAAGTAACTAATATAACGTAGATAAAGAAGATATTCGATGAATTGGTGAAACTATTTTGTTTATTACTCAGTATATAGGAGAAAACATGAGCCTCTTCAAACCAATTTTTTTGCTTTACCGCCAGAGTGGAATCTCCACCGTGTAGGGAGCCGTCTAGGTCTCAAACTCTCAATCATAAACGGGAGTTCCATATATTTATTGTAGATCGGATAAACAGATGTAAAGTAGTTTACCTGCCTCCTCCCAGGTAAAATATTTTACATGGTACAATGTAAAATGTGTTTAAAAAAGTGACATACAGTTTACATTAAATAGTTAAAACAAACGGTGTAAAATGTTTACTTCCTCAAACTTTACACGCAAAGTGTTTACTTTACATAAAAACAAACGGGCCCTTAAGTTAAAAAGGTTCTCGAGGATCTCTCCTCTTGTTAGAGTTGCGGACCGCTAACTCTCATTAGGGTTTATCTCTCCTCTTCTCTCATTAGGGTTTATCTCTCCTCTTCTATTTACTTAATAAAGACATTGTAATTCTATTTAGGCATTTTTAGTGTAGACACTTAGGTTAAAAAGGTTCTCGAGGATCTCTCCTCTTGTTACAGTTGCGGACCGGTAACTCTCATTAGAGTTTATATAATTTGATGCCGACTAATTGTTCAGTGGGTTTCTTTCGTCGGTGTTTCGTCGATTGCTCTATGGCCTGTTTGTTTAGGGGTTAACCTAACTTATTACAGGTTCAATTTTCAGTTAACCTCTTTTGTTTATGTTTTTGCAACAAGGACCTAGGTTATGGGTTAACCTCACATAACTCCCGAGAATATGGAAAAACCATAAATTGAAGAACCTCTGAAGTGGGGAGTTTCGGAGGTTAAGTTCTCGTTTAACATAAAATAAGCTAGAGCACCTTCATTCAAACAACATTTATTACATTAACCTAGATTCACCTTATTTATTTCCAAACACTATTTTACGCATGAACCTAGGTTCACTTAGGTTAACCTAATTTTTATTAAAACTTAGGTTTACTTTAATTTATTGCACTAGGTTTACTTAAGTTCACTTTGTCCAAACAGAGCATTAATGTCGGCACTCGGCAGAACTGGAGTGATTGATTTCTTTTCATTTGGATGTTGAGAGGTCGATGACGGCGATGAGGATCTATTTTGGGGTGTCCATAGCTCCCGGAGTTCAAAGATCTTCTAGGGGCTTCTGCGAGGTGCTATCGGCTAAGCTCAGCTTGGCCATGAATGGAGGGGAGGTCAAGCCGGTCGTGGTGTGGCGGCGCTGCATAGTGAGGGAGCAGGAAGACTATCCACATATTTGGGTGAGTATTAGATGTGGGAAAACACGGGAAAAGGTGCAAATAGGCGGCGATAGGAGTAAAACTTAGCCAAGTCTAGATGTCTAGATGTTATTTCGTCTTAAATTAATTTTTCTAGAATGTTGACACTCGGTATGGCTGGCTGTAAGGCCTCAATTATTTGTCTTCCTCCTAAACCACTGCAACATTATGAAAGAAAGAAAACGCTTAAATTATGGCAGGTCAAATTTATAATTCAGGTAAATTCTTCTCGGTAGAGTTTTCTTTGTTGGTTGCCCGTTAAACCAATTCTCCCTTTCTTTGTTGGTTGCCCTCTGTCACCATTTCCGCCGAACGCACATTTCAGAGCTTTGAGGTGTCAGATAAATTAAAGCAAACCTTAGTCGGCGATCTTGTTTGACTTGAAGCTGAGTAAGGTGGAGAAGTTTTAAGCACGATGTTAAATTTTTTCTTTTAACGGAAGCTAAACAATTGACGGCATAGTAAGGAACTGACGGCATAGTAAGGGTAAACAAGCCACATTAAGAGTAAGGTACGGGTTTTTAAAACAATGTACAACTTCTTCTACACAAAATGTATTGACATAAATCAGGAGTACCAACCATTATTCACAATTATAATGTTGTTAGATGAACATATTAAATAAGTTTCTTCATTAAAAATAATAATAATATTTACTTTCATCTCTTGTAGAATAAAGGTATAAATTATACACTAATTATTTAAAATTCGACCATGAAAAACTGATCGTTTAAGTAT